CCACCACCACCACCACCACCACCACCACCACCACCACCACCACCAGTGATGTCCACCAGCAGCAGCAGCAGCAGCTGCTGGCCTTCTTGACTGTGTCTTGACACCGGTCCAGGTGGGGAGTTGGGGGGAGGGAGTGCGGTAGGTGCTGTGAAAGTCTACTCCCGCTACAAACTAATTAACGCGCAAGTCACTGTGCCAGCTGTCGGCCTGCTATGGAACGCACAGTGGGCACCGTCGGCAACGACGGTTGAACTGTCGAGAGCTCGTCTGGGTGTGGCATTGCTAAATCTGGTGGTACAGAGGTGAACAGTAGAACAGTGTTCAAGGCGACCATTGTATCTTCACCGGCAACTGTGATTCCTCGCAATTCCTGACAGACACTGCGTAGAATTGTCAATGGAAGTTTGACAATCCCTCGTGGACGTGTTGACTGATGGACTATGCATTCAGAGATTTCGTGATTGGTTGCACAGATAAAACGATACTACTGGTTGCAGTGGGCATTTAGCCAGTCATGTTCAACCCCATACTTAGATAAGCTAGAATTTAAGCCCAGATTCTCTGGCCATTGAACTTTAAGTTCAGCGGACCCTACAACACAGACAATGAATATTTTATGGGGTTTGCTTGAACTCAGTGAAGTTTACTTTAACCGCTGACAATCCTCTTCCCTATAGGTTCTTTAGGATCACCTAACGAAGTCTTCTCGACGGTTTGCTTTGCCACTACCTACCGCGGTAAACATTAGAAAAGCCAGACAAAAGCATCATATGAATCCCCTCGATTGCTACAAGTGTCCAAAAACACGACAAAGGATTTCTGCTTGCCGAACCACAGTGACAGCGAGCGAGAGAGAGAGAAGAATCAGATCGTGTAAGGCTTACCAACTCACTCTTTCGCACAGAAACGGTCCACTGCAAAATTCCTATCTGTGAATAGTCTTGTTGATCGCAACTAATTCAGTTAAATCAGATGAGTAAACGGCACAATTTTGGTGTGCGAATGATAAGGACGGGGGCGACAAATTAGAGTTAATTGTGCGTGCTGAAAACCCGTCAATCCGCTGCGCACGCGTCTTGTCAAATATGTATTGATTCCCACTCTAATCCATAATCAGGGACAAAGTCAGATGCCGGTAGGGGGTCGCACATGTGTTGTTATATTCATAAGACGCAGTTGCCGTTGCACTACATGCCTATCAAAACTGGCTGCTCGACTGTTAGTCGCAAATGGCTATACGTGCTGCCATAATTACTTAATTACCCGCAGCCTGGGGTTAATCGTCAAAATTTTTCCACTAATGTGGGTCCTTGGGCCATTTGGCTCATCGACAATGACAGCGTGAACGATGCTCCCCCACACACTCCTTGCGTGGCTTATTAGACTGCCCAGGTAGCATCTCATCGCATACCATTGTGGCGCCATCTCATTGCGCTTAATAATCGACCGAGGACTGTGCGCAGCTTTATCCAACTTGAATGCATTGCCGGGTCCCGTCGACTGAACCACGTCGTTCCTCCTTACTGTTGCTGCTCGCTCGATCATCCCCGTCCGAGGAAGTTTTCCACTTTTTCCAACATGATTGCCTCGTCCACAACTGGATCAGATCCGGTAAACTGCTCCCGTTGTTTCCTGCCACGGCAGCAGTTCTTTCCGCCTCTTGACCTAGAACCTTATAGTTACCTCCGGTCTGTGTGCAACGTATTGGCTTTATCTGACTCTGCCTCCAATGATGGGCTCGAGTGAGAACCTGAAACATCAGACAAATAGAGCTCTTTTTCCATCGATCATGTCGCCTTTTCCCAACCACTTTCCACATACTCACCGGCTGATTTCACATTTATGGACTAGCCGACTGTTTGTTTTCCCAACCCAGTTAAATGACTGTCAGGTTGTCCTTCTCTGAGTTACAGGACGTTTACTGTTCCACAGGGTACTTTCTCGTGACCGAAAACCGGAGGAAACGGATGTGTAAGTCAATTTCATGAGTACCATTAATATTCGGGCTCAAAGGATAAATAGTGGGATATTTTATTTGTTTCGTCACATAACTGTCTTCCCGTCGTAGTAAATAGAGCCATTTATCTCAACCTTCTATGCCCTATGACGTGAGAGTTGGATTCTGAGCACATAACAGTCAGGTGATGTCTACAACTGTTATCTGATCTTAAAATCGTAGTGTATGCGTCAACTGCTGCAAGATATGTTAAGAAAGATGACAAGGACGTAGTATGCGACCTCACACAGGGAACAAACACCAGGTCATAG